AAAAATTAAAAGTTAGGCTATACAATTCAAATTCAATGGAAAAATAAACAAATTGAAAAGAAACGAAATACAAGAATACAATAAATGTTCATCATAACAACAATGATAGGAAATTATATTATAGTAAAAGTGGGAGTGAGCAGCATCAATCCCAAGCAAATTTGTACATGGTAGGTAGTTGGTGCTTGACGTTGTGTTGGTAATTAGTTAACGATGACTGAGTCTTGTGTTTTTGTTAGTTCAATAGCTGTATCTATCGACAAGAAATCGACTACTTACTCATCAGCAACATTATGTCAGGTAAATATTTACAACGGATTTTGTGTTAAAATTCTAACTTTACAATCTTCAGTAACATTCATTAAGTGTATTTTATATAATTCACAGGGGAGAATGATGAGGCGCCAGGAACTTCCTTTCTAGGGTATACCTGGTTCCCCGGCTATTGGTACCCGAGACGGCGTGCGGTTTTAGTCGGTTCGAGTCCAACATGCCACCGACAGGTGGTATCCGAAGGAATTTCCGCTCGTCACGGGACCCTCTCATACCGACTGACGCAGGTGATCACTGGGAAAGGATGTTTCAGGGATCACCTGTGTCTGATCCGCAAGGAGCCAACGCCTAAGTGCCACCACTGCGATGGCCAGACCGTGGACACGGCTCTCCACACGCTGGCAGAGTGCCCGGCGTGGGTTGAGCAGAGGCTAGACCTCGTGGCGGCCATCGGAGTGGGAGTTCTCTCGCTCGATAGCCTGATTGCGGCTATCGTGCGTAGCGAGAGTGCGTGGAACTCTGCCGTCTCCTTCTGCGAGCAAGTTATGCTCGCGAAGGAGACGGCGGAGCGGAACCGGGAGGGGTTTAGGACTCTCCCGGCCCGCCAGGCCCAGGAACGGGCCAGGTACCGCAGGCGACTCAGGCGCCGGAGGTCGCAGAACGACCTCCGTCCCCTATAAGCGCAGGCCTGGGGGTGACAGGTGAGGCCATCTGTCACCCTAGCAGAAGCAGGCCGGGGTGGCGGCGGCGGAAAAAAAGGGGATTTCCGCACAAAAAAAAAAGAAAAAAAAGGGGATTTCCGCACGAAAAAAAAGGGGGAGTATGATGCCACGAAAGGCTAAATTCAAGAAATTGCCTATAAGTTTTCTATAAAATCAGAATTCTGATTTTATCTATATCTATCTATCTATCTGACTTATAACAGACATTCCTGTATACAATCGACCTAGTGAAAAATATCTAGAGGTTTACGTCGCGGATAAAATAAGACCGGCTGCAATAATATATTCTTATTTGAATGGTTGAAAGAAAATATATAATGATATGACTTTATGTTCACCCTGCAAGTAAATCCATATTATAAAACCCATTTATATTTTGTAAATTGGGTTATATTATGTTAAGAAGTTTTACATTTTCTTTTTAATATTCAAAGAGGTTTATGAAGTAGATAACATAATCGTTACAATATAAAGATAAATACATTAATTGTTGTTGAAGCAGTCGGAATTTTTCTCACACATTTTCGAAATAACCAAATTGTATCTATATTTACAACACCGCAAAACGATCACAATAAATTAAACGTGGTAATGAGTGTCGCATGAAAAGAACTTCTTCAATGAACGAGAACGTCATGCGAGCATATTTTGTGGCTACAGAGGGAGAAACTTATCTCACTGCTTATCGTAATCGTTTACTAATTCTGTTTCAGGAACTTGAACCAACTGTTAACGGTTCGGTAAAAAGATTATCAGATCAAGTGCGAGCTATTAAGCGATATAATTTGTTGGATAGCTCTGTACTTAAAAGGCTACGCGCCGACTTACAGATAAGCCTTACTACTTTTCCTCCTTCACAAGCAGTAACATATCAAGATCTTGAATTACTACAGGCTTCTGAAGGAGAGGAAATTGATGCTTCTTCTGTAAGTACAAAGTACAATGATATAATTAGGAATACTTTGGTTGGTTCTATCCTGGAATATGGGTCTATGAATTTTGTAAACAGACCACGTTTACCTACCTCGTTTGCCGATGCATAAACGTAGTAAAGCGCTAGTGACTGCCCTTGATTCTATATTATGTGAAAACCTCTACGATACACATTCAATTCTGTATTGTGCGGCCGTTACTGCATGTCAAGAAGCTGGTGTTAAATTCCCAAGAATTGTCAGTGTCCTCGACCTAATCACTGGTGCCGATGTTTTAATGTAGGATCGAAGGTTGTATTGCAGAGGAAAGGGTACTCATTGGCAAGCTTATCTGTTTCAGATCGGGCAACACACGCCCGAGAGTAATGCGCTTTGTGAATCAGTCTTTTTCGGAAACCTGTGATTATATTGCAAGAGTCACAGAGCGCATTGACTTTCTGGAACAGAAGGTTTATCATTGGCAAACCATATACGAAGGTATAAAAAAAGAGTGGACCGATATATTCAGAATCGCAGAATCCAAAGGGACGAGAGGTGGGTTTATAGAAAGTGGGAGTAGCCTGATTTAGTGAGTTGTTAAAATAACTAATACATTTTGGCGTAACATATGGTCGATGCCTATCACTCACACAGAGGGTGAATGAATGCGAAGTTTCGAACCATCGTTCGAAACACACCATCGTGTGAGTCAAACAATATAATGGAGCCAGGATCAATTTCAGACATTGATATAGCTTAAGCAGTTCCTTCGCTACCGAATTGGAAGTCAACGGGACCAGACGGACTGCCTAACTTTTGGTTAAAGTGGCTCCGTAGCTCACATGTACGTTTGGCATCTCATTTTCAATCATGCTTAGAATCAGGTTCACTTCCATCTTTTATGGCTACGGAAGTAACTCACCTACTCTTATAAGTCTGGTAATGCCACGGATCCAAAAAATTATAGGCCAATAACGTGTCCATTCTGAGAGTGCAGATAACATCTCATATTACGAACAACTCTATTATGACTCCCCCTTAGAATGGATGTAGAGGTGGAGCATGCTGCACTAAGGAGCTCCTTATTATTGACAAGACTATTAACCAACAAGTTGGGTGATGGAGTTATACAAAATTGATAGAACTCTATGCACTTTTCTGGAGGCATGTATGCGGCAATGGAGAACGGTTCTTTGCTATCCAGGATGTCGACAATCTCAAGGCGATGGCGAATATATAATGATTAAGCGGGGTATACTTCAGAGTGTCAGTTTAAGTCCCTTGTGGTTTTGCTTGGCTTTGAATCCTCTCAGCACTATGTTGGAGGGTTCAGGGCTAGGCTATTGTTTGCAGAGAGGTGGTAAGATTATATCCCACCTCTACATGGATGATTTAAAACTGTTTGCTTCCAGTAATTTCATAATGATAATTTATTAGAAATAAGCAAAACCTTTAGTGAATGTATTAGGATGGAATTTAGTGTAGACAAGTGTGCAATCATGCATGTAAAAAGAGCCAGGGTTGTGGAATCTGATAGGTTGGAACTCTCAGATTCCACGTACTTTAAGTGTCTCTCAGCTAACGAAACTTACAAATATCTGGGTATATCACAGGCGTTAGGTGTAAATGAGTTGACTATGAAACAATAGTTACAGGAATGCTTCTTTAGCCGCCTGAGAAAAGTATTAAATTGTCTTTTGTCAGGTGGTAATAAGGTGAAGGCCTAAAATGATTGGGTCATACCAGTTCTAACCTACTCTTTTGGCCTACTTAGATGGACTCAGACTGAACTAGATACCCTGGATAGAAGAGTAAGTTCATTACTTACTGCGTACCGAATGCATCATCCACGTTCATCGGTGATGAGGTTATATATTCCACGTAAATGTGGTGGTCGTGGTTTTCTAAATGTCAGGACCCTTGAAAAAGAAGGCACGAACGCCGGGTAGATGTACTCCCGCGTACTTCAAGTGCTCAATGCTAAGGCCGTCCAACCCTAGAGGTGTTCCTTTCACCATGCGTTTCCCCTCTCACCCTCACCCTCTCACCCCATCTTACTCTATTACAAGTCATCACCATCATCATCAACAGCTGGACATAGGCCTCTCCTTAGAAAGGAGGTTTTGGCCTGGTTGGTTGGCCTGGCCTGGAGGGTGTGTCAAGTTTTCCTTCTCTCAGCAGTGTTGTTGTCCTGTTTAGTTTGATTAGTTGTCCTATTAAAAGTACCACTCGGTAAATATAATTTGCATTATAAGCATTATATGCACCAATAAGTATCATATAACACGGACTTGTTTGCAATAGGGAACTGAGCCGTGCTCGACACTACACAGTTATCCAGCCAGGGCCTGCACCCGTGTGTCTCACTGATATAGGTATGTGTCCGCCGGTAATAGCTCAGTATCCAAACAAGACCACGACTGATCATTACAGCAGTTTATTAGTTTCGTATAGAATGACTCACCGGGATGCGTATTGAAGTCACCCAACACGTATACACATTTCACATTTTGGGTCTCTATTATCGCATTGATTTCACTTATGCACTTATCACTAGAGTCTGTAGGCATATACACGAAAATTATGAGCAAAGAGCGATCACCCAAAATGACTTTGATCGCTAATAAGCGCTCACCGTTGCACTTTACAACCGAGACCGTAGGAAACAACGCTTTCCTCCAGAGCAGAGTCACCCCACCATGAGGTCTGCCACGAAGTAGTACCACCGCTGTGTCCACCGCCGAGTTACCCATGAACGCGAAGTCGTTCTAAATAGTGCCCAGAAACGGGATGTCATGCGGCAACAGCCCAGTTTCTTGAAGGGCTATGATGTCAGCTTATTTACATAGTCACCTTACAGACTCCACAGATCTCTTCACATCCTTACAATTAAATGTTACTAACATTGTGGAGCAAATCATGTTTGTGGTTGATAATCGGAGTCTGTTTCTTATTTATTTGTCTCTTCTTAAAGTAAATAAATTTTCTAAAAGCTATACCCTCTGGCAAAACTTGTTTATCTGTGGGTACATAAACCTTGAAGGCACTATAGGGTTATTGTGTTTTTGTAAGTAATTCGAGATGTCACTCACGGTCACATTTTTCGGCATGTCGTTTTTGATTCCAATGCTTTAAACTTAACCGTAGAATCCAATAGTGCATTCCCTCTTTTGCCTTTAAATCGATTATGTAATCTGTATTTCTTCTGATCAACCAATTTGTCACTTGGAGGTACAGTTTTCCATACACCATTCTGAGCAACTTGTGCAAAAGATTTACGTTGCAATACATCGCTCGCACCTCCGTTCGTAGCGGCCTTGTGTCTCGGTACTGATGCCGCTGGCTGTGTAGGATGAGTCAACGAGTTACTCGTCGATTGCGGTTTGTTTACCTTCATTTGCAAATTATGAACCCATAAAATTGAGTACAAATATTATAAAATCAAGCTAATAAATAAATTACTTAAGATTTAATTAAATATGTAACGTTTTTGTTGACTCGTCAAAAATATTTTCTATTTTATTTAGCAAAATGAAGATTATTGCTATGTAAAGCTTTTCTCACTCAACCTTTACACTTTTTTGACACATTTTCTTTTAAAAATATTGTGTTTACTTTTCTTGGCTTTGTGTTAATTGGGTGCGAGGTTGTTCAGGCTAATACTTTTAGGCCGTTTATGGTGATGTTGAAAGCTGTGAATAAGGTTATATTCTACTATACTGTTGGTATAACTAGGAATCTATCAGTGCTTTAACAAGAATCTTATTAAAACGATATGAGTGCAGTATTTATATAATTTAAGACAATGTTCCAATTTTAAGCTACAATGGTTATATCTGAAAAACTCATTTTTAAGTTTAGTGAATAGAAATAATAATTGAAGTTGCAAAATACACAGGTTGTTTGTCGTCGGAGCGGACGAGGCAGAGTGCTGATATTGCAATCCCCATCGGTACACTTATACTGTGTCAATATTGCATATTAACATTTGTTGATACTTACTAACCGTGGATTTTATAAGCGAACCTTCGTTGAAATTTAATTACAGTATATTGGACAAAGTCATTTTCTGAGTGGTAAACATATTTTATAGAATAAACAATTTTACTCACCTGGGTATTTCAGAGATGCTAAAATTGAAAATGTAGACGACTTTTGATGTAACCCATTGTTTAGATAAAAAATTAAACACTTTACCTAATTAAAAAAACTTCATTTAAGTACTTACATAAGCACATTTGTTGTGTCACAAAGCATTTTCAAGTCAGCATTTAAATAGTCTGGCTCAAATTTGTATTTAAAATTAATCAATCAATCAATCAATCATTTACTGAGTCCATAGTCTTAAAAATATAATAATTCAAAATCATTATGTACCTTGTCGGGCACAGCAAAAAGTTGGGAGAGAGGAAGAGGGCATTTTATATTTCTGACGCATTGGAAGCTTAAAGATTTATGAATTACGATATCAATTTGACAACTTTTTCAAACAACCAAAGCATTTGACACTGTCTCTGTTCCACATCTCTTACGGAATATGGAGGGAATGGGCATCCGCGGATATGCGCTCGGAATTTTCAAAGATTATCTTTCTGATAGGACACAGTGTGTAAAGATAGACGACATTGTTAGTAGCAACGAGCCCCTTCTCTTTGGTGTCCCACAGGGATCGATCCTTGGTCCAACCCTTTTCCTCCTTTACATAAATTCCCTGTGCACCTTATCCCTTTCCTATTCTTCTATCATTACCTATGCAGACGATACTGCAATACTTGTCCGTGGCTCAGACTGGCCATTAGTGTTTGCTCGTGCAGATTGCGCTCTTACTCGTGTAATGCAGTGGCTATCTAACAATCTTCTTACACTTAACCTTAAGAAAACTACTTACATCACGTTCTCAAAGACAGCTAAAACTCAACCACCTTTGGAAACCTTCATATATATAAGAGCTCATACTTGTTCGACATACACATCCACTGATACCTGCAACTGTCCAACTATACTGAGATCCGCACACACAAAGTATCTGGGAGTATTTGTTGATAGTCATATTTCATGGAAATACCAACTGAGTAATGTAACTGCCCGCGTCCGCAAGATGATATACATTTTCAAAAAATTGCGTTATGCAGCTGATTTTGACACCCTGAAACCAGTTTATTATGCACTGTGTCAATCTGTTTTAACATATTGTATCTCTATCTGGGGTGGAGCTGTGAAATCGTACCTTCTGCCCCTGGAGCGAGCACAAAGAGCAGTCCTTAAGGTAATGACTTTTAGGCCTATTAGATATTTGACTGCACAATTATATCACGAATGTGAACTGCTTACTGTCAGACAGCTCTTTGTGCTTGAAGCAATCTGCAGAAAACATAATGGTCTGGAATATGACATTGAAGTCACAAGAAAGCGCCGTGCACGCAAGGTCTGCCAAGCCCAAAGTTCTAGAAGTGCGTTAGCTGCCACTGCCACTTATATAATGTAGCTAATGAATACTGTGACATCTATCCATTAACTAGATCGCAATGCAAGAAACGAGTTACCACATGGCTCTTGTCCAAATCTTATGAAGATACAGAAAATTTGATTAAACTAAGTATACTATAATTCTAATGCATCCATCCATCATACAAAGACACACACACACATACACACACACACACACCAACATACACTTTGTAACATAATATACTCGTATATAAACATATAATAATGCGATATATATTATTATAATATTAATATCTATTTCTATAGGTTATTCCTTTTTTTTTTTTTTTTTTTACGTGTGGAAATCCCCTCGGACCGTCACCCCGCCGGGGCTCTTGTTCGGCGGGGCGGTGTGTCGGACTCGAACCGACTAAAACCACACGGTGTGCCCTCTTTGCGCTTCCAGTTTAGGAGGGGTCCAGGTACCTATCTCCTTCTGGACCCCTCCCAGCGCCGGCCCGCTCCTGACGCGGGCTACGTCTCAGTGGACCCTCTCTTTAGGCGGCGTCCGGCACACGCGGACGCCGCCCCCTCGCGGCTGGCCAACTAATGCGGGTGGAGGGGAGAACCCATCCCGTCCACCCGCGGCCACACTCAGGGCGGCATGAGGCGCAGGTGAGCGCGCCTCCGCCGCCCGGTTCGCCGGCGGCGGATCAGGTCCGAGTGGAGGTCGTCCTCCCGGGCCTTCTCCGCCGCCTCCTTCTGCGAGATTACCTCCTCGCAGAAGGTTGCGACCGCGGTAAAACAACTGTCGCTACCGGCCATGGAGCGAATTACGGCCGGTAGCGAGAGATCTGCTCCGATGACTGCAGTGAGGGCCCGGCGCTGCGTCGCCCATGCGGGGCAAACCGCCAGCGTGTGCTGGGCCGAATCCTCACCGCAGTCGCAGTGGTGGCAGGCGGGACTCGATTCCCTCCTAGCGACCGAGTACAGGTACTTTCCGAAGCAACCGTGCCCGGAAAGCACCTGCGTCAGCCGGAAGGAAAGGGTCCCGTGCTGCCGCCCTGCCCACTCGGCGATGACCGGCTGGAGAGCCTCCACGGCGGCGAAGCCAGCGCGTGGAGTCTCCAGCCGGAACGACCATCTCACCATAGTGGCTCGGCGAGCGGCTTCGCGCCACTCGCGCACGTCTTCGGGCGGAGGGCGAAATCCGCTCTCCGCCCGGAAGTCAGCCACTCGCCGATAAACTTCGGCGAGCACTTCCGCCTCCAAATCCCACGGGGGTGTTCCGGCCAAGGCGCAAGCCGCCTCGGTGGACACCGTGCGGTATCCGCGTATGGCTCTGACCGCCAATATCCTCTGGGGGCGCCAGAGGCGCGCCCTATTCGGGGCGGTCAGAGCCGCCACCCACACCGGTGCACCATAAAGCGCCATGGACCGGACAACCCCCGCGTACAGCCGCCTCGTGGGAACACTGGCCCCACCCAAATTGGGCAAAAGTCGCCCTAGGGCGGAGGCAGTGTCCACCAGCTTCGGACCAAGCTGTCGGAAGTGCTCGTCGAAGAGCCACCTACCGTCTAGGACCAGACCCAGGTACCTCATCTGGGCCCGGACCGGTACGAGGACCGAGCCGACCTCGATTGAGGCGCCGGCGGGCGGACCACGACGGGGCCCATGAAATAATAGGGCCTCCGTCTTATCCAGGGCCACCCGCAAACCCAACGCCTCAATGCGCCCGACCACCAGGGAAACTCCCGTGGCGGCCAGGCGCGCCGCCTCCTGGAAGTTAGCCCCCCGGGCCGTGAGCAAGGTGTCATCCGCGTAGCAGATTACACCCAGCCCGGGGGGGAGACGCCCTCGTAGGGCCCAGTCGTACCCGATGTTCCACAGGAGCGGTCCTAGGACAGACCCCTGCGGAACACCGCACGACATGGCCCTGCGTCTCAAGACGCCATCTCGGTCCTCGTACATGACGGTTCGCTCCTCAAGATAGTCTGCCACCAGCCGCCTCAGGTACTCCGGCACTCCGTGATAGCGGAGCGCTTCCCTGATGCAGCTGAATGGCAGACTATTGAAGGCGTTGGCGATGTCCAAAGACACCGCCAACACCACTCCGCCGCAGCTCACGGCCTCCTCGGTCACGGCCCTAAGGCGCATCACGGCATCGATCGTCGAACGCCCCTCTCGGAAACCGAATTGGGCATCCGACAGATCGGGGCCGACCTCGCAAAGGTGCCGGACGATGCGGGCAGAGAGCACCCTCTCAAAAAGTTTGCCCGCCTCGTCCAGCAACACGATAGGCCTATAGGCCGCGACCGATTCGGCAGGCCGTCCCGGCTTCTGTAGCAGGACCAGCTTCCCGCATTTCCAGCGCTCAGGGAAGCGTCCGGACGCCAGGCTAGCGTCCAACACCCCCCTGAGGTGGTCCGACATGTAGTCGAGGGCTCGGGCCATCACTCGGGCTGGAACCCCGTCCGGCCCGGGAGCGGTGTTCTTGGATCGAATCCGTAGAACAGCCGCCCCCAACTCCGATTCCCTGACGGGCGGAACATCAGCCTCGCTGCCCCCGTCGTCTCCGGCTGATGCAGCCATCGACGGGGGTGTGTGCTCCGCCCTCTGCGGGAATAGGCCCTCGACCACTTCCTGCAGGAAGCTGGGCTGGAGAGTCTCCGTAAGGGGGGGGCCCGACGTGCGGAGCTTTTGACGCACCGCACGATAAGGGCGACCCCAGGGGTCACGCTCGAGACTCTCCAGCATCTCCTCTCTACACGCATCCTTGGCGCGGCAGATGGCCAGCCTCAGAGTTTTCCGAGCTTCTCGGTACTCCTCATGAAGCCGGTCCACCTCCTCACCGACCCCGCGGTGACGTCGCCGACTACGGGTGAGGGACCTCCGGGCACGTACACAGGCCGCACGGAGGTCCGCCAACTCCTGGGACTTGGGGACTTTAGGCACTTGAAGCACCTCATC